GAGGAGGTTCGCGGAGCGGATGGCCGGCGCGACGATGGGCAGAAGGCGGCGTGCACCAGGGCTGGGGTGGGACCAGTGCTGCATGGGGCTGTCCGCACCCTGCTCCGAGCCGAGACCACAGCCGCACTTAGCGTTGGCCGCATCCTGCAGGAACCGGAGCCAGCTGCTGAAACATCCCGGAAAGCTGGGGGCACTCTCACCGCCTGTCCCCCGGGGGTGCGGGCAATTAGTTGGAGTCCTGCTCGCTTCCACCATCTCAGTGCACTTAGCGTGGGCTCCCCAGGGAGGGAGAGGCGGGTAAACTCCTCACATCCCCCTGCCAGGGAAGGCAGGAGCTGCCTGGGGAGGACTGCACAGGCCCCAGGCTCAGGAGAGGTGCGTGGGCAGGCGTGAATTTGGGGGGCAATGGCTCCTCGGTCACAGGGAAGTGGAGGGACCCCAAGCTCTGCCCCAGCCTTGCAGGAGCACAGCTCCGAGACATCGGGCTGGCCAAGTGTCACTCTTGTCACAGCTCCCGGCCCCCTTGGGCTCAAGCACCTCCTCCAGGCTCCCCAAAAGCTGCGAGGGGTCAGGCTCCCATGAGCACAAAGTGAGGATGGGGGGTGGCAGGGCACTCGGGGGGCAGTGACACAGACTCCAGGGGAGCTCTGGGCGCTGGTGCCACCTGCATGTCACCGCGGGGATGCTGCCAGCTCTCCAGCGTGGTGCTACCTCGAGGCCAGGAGCTCTGGTGCGGCACTGTGGCCAGCACAGCTCAGCATCCCTCGCCCTAGAGGTGTGCAGGTCGAGGCAGTACCTTTTATGAGGCCAGCAACATAGCTGAGGAAAACAGTTGCTTGTGAGCACTGAGAAGCACCCGTGTGCCCAAAAGCTTATCTCCCTTTCTGAACCATCTGACTTAGTCTAGTAAAAGATATCGCCTTTCCCTGCCGGGCTCGCCGCGCACGCCTGGGCAGATCCCGCAACGCTCTTTCGCTGTCAGTGGGAGCAGAGCAGAGATTCAGAGCAGAGCCGCATCCGTGGGGCCGTGGGAGGACAAGTCAGGATCAGGGAGGACACCCAGGCGGGGAAGGGGGACCGCATTCTCCCACCCTGCACCCCACACTGGGCACAGGAACGTCCTGGGAGGGAAGATGGGAAAACCAGAGGCGGGGATGCCCTGGCACAGGGAGGATGTGGTGCCCACGCCCAGCAGGGCTGGAGGGAGGCGGGAGGGCTGGGCTCTCTCCTGCGGATGCTCAGACCTGGCCGGGCACCCAGCGGGGCCCCGGAGCGGAGCAAAAGGCACTGCAAGGCCCCACGGTGGCTACAGCCATGGGCCAGCGATGCCGGCCCTGCCCAGCTGCGCTCCCCTGGCCTGTGCTCCCCAGCACAGCTCTAAATCCATTAGCTTTGCATAATTAGATTTTTCTCAATTACCAGATTATGATAATTAACAGCTCATTTGTAGGAGGCAGTGCCTAATCCCGGCATCGCGCTTGGCTCGGCGCCAGCCCGGCTCCCAAGGCTGCCGGCACTGGGACAGCAAGTGGCAGAGCGAACACCGGTACCCGAGGAGCCCTGCCAGGGGGACAGGGGGCCTCGAGGGTGCTCCCAGGACCCCCCAAAAGGTCTCTACCACTGGGGACCTCAACCTGCCCTGCACTGCCTGGCCCACACAGCCTGCCTGGAGAGGTCAGTCCCCAAAAACCGGAGGGGAGTGAGAGCCCATAGAAGGACACCATCCAGCGGCGAGGGGACTTAGCAGGGCTTTAGAAGTGGTCCAGGCACCCACGTGGCTCAGGAGATGTAGAAAACATCCCGCACCGTCTCCTCCTGCGAGCAGCCACCATGGGAGAGGTTAGCGTCGTGGGCTGGGCTGGCGCGGCTACAGTCATTAAGGGGCTTGTTAATGAACTTTCCTAGTCAATAATGTTGCCGAGGAAGGACAGGAGAGCCGGGTAGCAGGAGGCAGCCGCCGGTAAGGTACCAATCTTCATCACAGGAAGGCAGGGCAGTCCAGGCAATTACTGCCCATCAACTGAGCTTCATCCCTACTAAAATAATAGAACAAATATTAAGAGAAAAATGCTTCTGAGGACCTCGAGGGCAGGAGAACGGGGAGCAATAAAGATGTGCTCGGAGCTCACACAGAATAAATCTGCCCAGTCGGACTTGATTGCCTTTTTTGGGTAAAATTGCTAAATGAATCGATGGAGAGCAGACAAGAGGTGTGATATATCAGGCTTTTATTAAAGCATTTGATATAGCATCTCAGGGAATTAGTTCTAGTTGACGGGGACAGCCGTCCCCTGCCTTGGCTGGGTGCAGCCGAGGAGGTGAGGGTGATGGGGCGGCCCCGGGGGCGCAAGGGGAGCATGGTGGCATCCTGTGACACCGGTGTCTGCACCGCCAGCGGCCGCAGCCCCTCTTCTCCCACCGCAAGTGAACATGATGCAGCTCCCACTTCGTGACCTGGCTCCCGGGGCGGCTTTGCCGGGAAAAGCTGGATGTGCAACTGGACAAGCTGGATGCACAGCTGGACAAGCTGGATGCAGCTTCATGCCTAGTCCCCATGGGACAGTGCCCATAGCCAGCCCGGTACCCCCACTGTACCCATTCAGGGCCACCACTTCCATGTGCCCAGCTCCATCCTGCAGTTCCAGGGCCCTTCTGGCTCCTGCCACGGGCTCTGCCAGCAGAGCTCCGGCTGGGAAGCGGCATTGAGCGTGGGCAGCGGTCATGCCCAGCCAGGCACGACTGCCTTGGGATGTCGCAAGCCGTTCCCTTGCGTCTCCTTTGCATGGCATTTCTGAACGTCTGCCACGAGCGGCGTCTCCAGGCAGGGGATCTGGTCCTGCCTCTCTGCCCAGCATGGGCGGCAATTTCGGCTCATACAGGCAATAAATCAGCCTGCTTGCCCGGAGGTGGCTGCACGGCCCCTGCTGCTTCAGCTCCGATTTCCCAGTCTCAAATTACCCCGGGGCTGCCTGAGAGCCGTCTGGTGTTGCGCCGCTCGTCCCAACTTCCCCCCTCAGCTCCGTTTCTGTCACCAGATTTTGCCAAAGCGTCCCCTGTGCCCAGGAGAAGCATCTCCCAGTGCCGGGTCCCCACAGGCGGCGCTGCCGGGGAGCAGAACTGTGCCAGCCCCGGCTGCCCGACGCCGCGGGGAGCCGGACGAGCCCCGGCGAGGCGGCTTCGCTCAACCGCAACGGCATTTGCTCCTCGGCCAGATCAGCGCCGGGTCAGAGGTCTCAGGCCAAATTTCCACACGTTTTTCTCAGCGGGGGAGCAGCCCAGAGTGTGTTTTTTGCTGGAAACCAACTGGAGAGTTTCTCCTTGAAAACAGTTTCTCCCCACGGGGTTCCTTTGATGCGCACACCGGGAGCACCACACGCGGCAGTTACACACTCCCTGCCGGAGCCTCCTTTCCCCTCACCGAGGAGTCCCTCTTGCTGTCCCCTTCGGCCCCCACAGCCTCTTCTCCTGTCCCGGCAGTGCCAAGGAGCCAGTCGGGCTGGAGGTGTCGGAGGCCATGGCAGGGTGTCTCATGGCAACAGCCCTGCAGGGAGCAAGGGAGTCCTTCTGCCGCCAGCACCCACAAAGTGATGGGGTCCCCAGGAGCCGTGAGACGCCGGGAGAAGCTGGTGGAGAAGGGGCTCACAAAAGGCACATCTCGCCCCGGCGCCCGGCCAGCCAAGCCGCTCCGTAAGAAAGGCACTAAATATCCCTGAGACCATTCAGACATCCCAAGTGGGCACGATGAGCAAAGCACCAGTGGTTCGGGGGCTGAGCAGAGAGAAAAGGTCTGTGTTTTTGTGGCATCAGCGGATCCCCCCCCCACCCTCCACTTTTGGGGTGACAGAGGAAGCTATTAAATGAGCACCACAGTGGTCCCAGCAGCAGCCTCTCCCGTTCCCGCTGTCTCCCCTCTCCCCACAGCCTGGCTCTTTCCCATGACAGCCTGTTTCCAGCTCGTTGCTCTGGTGCTAATCCCCTAATCTGTGCAAAGCAACAATTTCCTTTGTGGCACAGCGGCTGGTTTGAGTTCTGCATCCCTCCTCCCCCAAAAGCCAGCTCCCTTATCAGCAGCAGGTATCAGGTGAGCCAGGCACCATCTACAGTTGATAAAACCCATGTTTTATTTTGCCCTCTCTCCATTTATCTCTGAGCCCGTAATTATCCCTCATCTTGCAATGTGTTGTGCTGCCTTGTGCGCCGAGGAGCGGAGAGGATGCGCGCTTTGCCGGGCAACCCTGGACCACAGCTTCCCACCGGAGGGGTTCAAGGACCTGGTGGGACGACGTTGAGGGACGAATCCTGCCCACCACACCGGCTGCCGATCCGTCATCCCTTCTCTCTCCTCACCCGGGCCGCGTTCCCTTTAATGTCTCACAGCGGCGGAGATGGATTTTCTCCCTGTGAGCCAGATGTGTTGCACGGAGCATAAACACTCGCGACAGTTGTTGTGCTCCTCGGTGCGAAGGCATCAGATGTCTGCATTAAAACAAAGCTCTCCACTTAATTACTCAGGCTGATAATTCAGCGCGTGGAGGCGGCTCTGGCTGAGAGCAGAGGGCTGGATCACAGCTGGGACTGGAGAGCCTTGGAGTGCACATTAATCCCGGCTCTTGCAGCCCTGATTAACGGTGCTGGAATCCTGCCCGCCCTGCTCATTCCCAGGGGAAGGGTCCATCCCAGCACCCATTCCCTGTCCCACCGGAGAGGTCCCAGGCTGGTGCCCGAGAGGCTCTGCTGACCCCTTGCTGGGTCAAGGCACCTCCTTCCCAGCATCTTTGGGGTAGGTTGGTGAGGAATGTGGGGACCATCGCTTGAAGGGTGCTGTGGTGCCCTGGAAACACCCATCCACTGCGTCTGGAGCCCAGGGGAGCTCCACACAGGACAGGGAGGGCAGAGCCTTGGGGTCACCCTGTGCCAGGACCCGAGAGGCTCTGCTGACCCCTTGCTGGGTCAAGGCACCTCCTTCCCAGCATCTTTGGGGTAGGTTGGTGAGGAATGTGGGGACCATCGCTTGAAGGGTGCTGTGGTGCCCTGGAAACACCCATCCACTGCGTCTGGAGCCCAGGGGAGCTCCACACAGGACAGGGAGGGCAGAGCCTTGGGGTCACCCTGTGCCAGGACCCACTGCCGGATCATGGCTGGCGGGAACTGGAGCCAACCCCATGGCCAAGCTCACAGCAGGACCAGGCGGACCACCGAAGGCTTTCTCCTTGGCGCCCAAGTTGCCTGCTCCTGCTAACCTGCATTTCTCCTTCAGCGGACCAGCAAACACCTCCTGCAAATTCACCTCGCTCCCCTCAGTCAGCACCAGGGCCCAGGTGCCCGCG